TGTAACATCTGTAACATCTGCTACAGCTGCATCTGTAACATCTGTAACATCTGCTACAGCTGCATCTGTAACATCTGTAACATCTGCTACAGCTGCATCTGTAACATCTGTAACATCTGCTACAGCTGCATCTGTAACATCTGTAACATCTGCTACAGCTGCATCTGTAACATCTGTAACATCTGCTACAGCTGCATCTGTAACATCTGTAACATCTGCTACAGCTGCATCTGTAACATCTGTAACATCTGCTACAGCTGCATCTGTAACATCTGTAACATCTGCTACAGCTACATCTGTAACATCTGCTACATCTGCTACAGCTGCATCTGTAACATCGCTACAGCTGCATCTGTAACATCTGTAACATCTGCTACAGCTGCTGAGATCTGTGCAGATGTGTGCAGCAGAGCGCGTCTAATTGCGCTAGTTAGCGCTGATCAATCGGCCGCGATTTATCGGTGGAGCATCAGCGATTTATCGGCGTGGCATCAGTGTCTTTTCGGCGGCGATTGTTTGCGTTTCTATGCCACGGCTCATCACGGCCATTGTGGCACATGCCACGGCCATTGTGGCAAATGCCACGGCCACACTTGACTTCCTAAACTTATTTAGTTCTTGCCTTGTTAGTAATTAGAGATTATTGTGAACCCAGGATTTTTTGTTCAGATTTTTTTATTGATTAACTAATTTGCGACGTCTAACGAGCTTTTTAATTGGATTTTTTATTATTATTTTCATGGCTTGTTAGTAGCTAGAGGTTATTTTTGTGCCGAGGTTTTAAGATCTTTTATTGTTTGGTAATTTTGTACGATATAAAAATATTTGATTTCTTTATATATTTTTTACGCGCTAAATTACTTTAGGTTTGTAATATTTATTATATTTATTATAGTCTCGTGGAAAAATAACCCAAAGATATTAATACATAATCATTCCCCATTGTATTACTGTTGTTTATTGCATTTAATTTGAATTCTTTGTACACATTTTCATTTATATATTATTGCCGAATTTTGTATGTGAATTAAAAAAATTTTATTTTCCTTTCGAATTAAAACGTTATTTTAAAACTTATTATAAGCATAAACTTTTTAATTAACATTACCATTCAAACTTCTAACGTCAACAACTTGAACTTTCTCGTATACTTTTAATTATACTCATAACCATTTCATGTTAATTCCAAATATATGATAATTTTTTTCGTTATTTTAGACATTTTCATGTTTTTCTGAACTTAAAATTTTTGGTGTCGTATACAACCTCCTCAATATCACTCCTTACTTTTTGATGCTAATTAAAATCATTTTAATTATTTTTTATACCTTTTGATGATAATTATAATCTTTTAAATTACCTACCTTACCTTATAATGTTAATAATAATATTTTAAACTATCCATCCTTCAGTTTAATGCAAATTTTAAAAATTAAACTCATGCGTTTGATGTTACTTTCAATATTTTTAATTATCCTCCTTTCCTTTATGATGTAAATTTCGAATATTTCTAATCATTCAATTACAATTTTACTGTTATTAATAATATTTCAAATTATTTATCCTTCCCTCATGAAATTACTTACAATTTCTCGGAGTTAAACTCAAGTGTTTGATGTTACTTGATATATTTTTAATAATCCTCCTTTCCTTTATGATATTAATTTTAATATATCTAATAACTTTCAGTACGTTTTAATGTTAATTATAATCTTTCAAATCATTTAGCCTTCCCTTGCCAATTATTAATTATTTAGCCAATTACTTGCAATTTCTCGAAGTTTAACTCAAGCGTTTGATGATACTTTCAATATTTAAATTATCTTCCTTACTTTATGATGTTAATTCGACATATCTAATCACTTCTCTTAATTTTTAATGTTAATAATAATCTTTCAAATTATTTATCCTTCCCTCTTGAAATTACTTGCAATTTCTCGAAGTTAAACTCAAGTGTTTGATGTTACTTGCGAACTTTTACGGTTACTTTACGTCTCGTTAAGAACGCCCTAATTAGTCCCGGCAAGGCACCGGCGTAATTAAGATCTTTTAAGATGTACAAAGGAACCAAGACTGGGGCACTTAATAAAGTTTAATTTTTACTGCAATGTAATGGTCATTATTACAGCTGAAATATAAAGGGGGTTATTATTACAGCTATAAAATAAAGGGGGTTATTATTACAGCTGTAAAATAAAGGTTATTATTGCAGCTGCAGTTTTACGGGCCGTATTGAAGCTGGTCCAATAGAAGCGAAATAATTTACCGGACTTTAATCAATATAATNTGAAAAAATGCAGTGAGATGTGTATAAGAGACAGGACTACAACTTCATCACTATCAACGCACTATTCAACGCTCGGTGAGTTATCGTGAACATAATGAGTTGAAATAACTCGTTAAAAATATACTATTTATCTGAATGCAAATTATGCTTTGGAATTCACTGAATAGTTGCAGAACAACTGGTCTGTTTGGCGGACCCTGTAGTCCGGTCTGCAGGCCTAGCAGTCCGGTCTGCAGACCCTGTACGTCCGGTCTCCAGACCATGCAATCCGGTCTGCAGGCTCTGCAGTCCGGTCTCCAAACTCTATAGTCTGCAGACCCTGCAGTCCGGTCTACAGACCCTGCAGTCCGGTCTGCAAACTCTATAAAAAAATTCACTGTTGCGTTTTTTGCAAAAAGAAACATATTCAGATTTCGGATATTTGTAAGCAAAGTGGCAATTATAAATTAATAATTTATATTTGAATTAATCTATGTAGGTTGATTTTACATGTAATGAAAACTATAGCCGCACCTTCCAATATGGCGGCGCATGAAACTTTTTTCTGTACAGCCTTTTTTTCTTCTTTTTTTTTTGTATGTACAGCAACCTTGTTTGGGTTGCTGCTATGCAACTACGGCATTGCACAGCTATAACCATCACAACTGTCAAAATTGCACAGCTTCAGAAGTTGTAATATTAATGTTTGTTATCACGCAATTACATTAATGCTTGTTATCTCACAATTACATTAATGCTTGTTATCTCACAATTACATTAATGCTTGTTATCTCACAATTACATTAATGCTTTTTATCACACAATGATATTAATGTTTGCTATCTCACAATGATAATAATTTTTGTTATCACACTATGATATTAATGTTTGTTATCACAATGATATTAATGTTTGTTATCACACAACGATATTAATGTTTGTTATCATACAATGATATTAATGTTTAATATCACAATAACATTAATGTTCGTTATAACACAATGATATTAATGTTTGTTATCACAATTATATTAATGTTTGTTATCACAATTATATTAATGTTCGTTATCACACAATGATATTATTGTTATAATCTCAATGATATCAATGTTTGTTATCACAATTATATTAATGTTATCACAATGATATTAATGTTTTTTATCACAATGACATTAATGTTTGTTATCACAATGACATTAATATTTGTTAACACAATGATAATGTTTGTTATCACAATGATACTAATGTTTGTTATCACAATGATATTAATGTTAGTGATTGCCGTTGAAAGCTTCACTGTTGTCGCTGCTTCGCAGGATTGCGATCGTGATTGCAATTTTTGAATGTGTTTTGTGTCGCCAGGATTGCACTTTTGAACGCTTATTGCAGATTGTCATTTGGCAATCAACGCTGCAAAATTGCAGCATTTAGCCAATGGCTCTTGCAGCGCCAGACGTGCGTGCAAAAATGGCACAGTTGTCGTACGCCAATCGGCAAAGTTTGGCATCGATGCCATCGAAACTGCCATCATATGGCGACCAATGCCATCACATGCCACTTTCTGAGCCTGCAATTAAATAAAATGTGACGAATAAATGACATGTGTCGGCCTTTAAATATTAAATAACAATCATACAACATGTAGCGTCGAAATAACATAAATTCTTCAGATAAAATATAGCATTCATATAACATATAGCATTCATATAATACCTAAAATTCATATAACATATAGCATCGAAATAACGTATAGCATTCAAAAAAACATGTAGCATTCTAATAACATATAGCATACATATAACATATAGCATACATATAACATATAGTATTCATATAACATATTGCATTCATATAACATATAGCATATATATAACATATAGTATTCAAATAACATATTGCATTCATAAAACATATAGCATTCATATAACATATAGCACTCATATAACATACAGCATTTAAATAACATATAGCATTACAATATTATAAAGCATTCAAATATCATATAGCATTCATATAACACATAGCATTCAAATAATATTCATTCCCCATTCCTCTTCCCGCTCATTCCTCGATTCCTCCCCTCATTCTCCCTCTCCTTTCAATTTTTCCCTCTCTCTTCCCCATTCCCCTTTCTTCACCCTCATCCAACTCTTTCTTCCCCTCACTTATTCCTCCTCGTTCTTCCTTGTCTTTAATCCTCTCGCCATCTTTTAACTCTCTTATCCCCTCATTTCTTCCCCATTCACCCATTTTACCTCCATTCCTCCCCATTTTCCACTTGCCCCTCTCTTTTCCACCCCATTTCTCACTTCTCACTTCCACCTATTCCTGCGCATGATTCTTTCTCCCCTTTTTCCTCCTCTCCTTCCCTCCTTTCTCACCACCTTTCCCCTTTTTCTCCCCCATCTCTTCCCTCTCTTTCTTCACCTTCTTCCTTCCCATTCCTCCCACAGTTTCTTCCCCAATTTTTCTTCCTTTTCTTCTTTCTTACCTCCGCCTTCCTCCTCCCCTTCCCTCCCCTCTTCAACCCCTTCACTCCCCTTTCCTCCCCACGTCTTGGATGCAAAATAAGCCCGGGCCAATAAGAACTCAAAATGGTTCGGACGCGCGAAATAAATTGACTCGTCCGAGGGTAAGCCAAGACGACCCTCGGCCACCTTCCCTCGGCCGGTCAAATCCCCACTTACCCTCTAGGCTGCCTTGCCCTCTTGGCAGCCAAGTCCCCACTTGCCCTCTAGGCTGCCTTGCCCTCTTGGCAGCCAAGTCCACACTTGCCCTCTTGGCTGCTAAATCCCCACTTACCCTCTTGGCTGTCAAGTCCCCACTTACCCTCTTGGCTGCCATATCCCCAGCTTACCTTCTTGGCTGCCAAATTCCCACCTGCCCTCTTGGCTGCCTTGCCCTCTTGGCTGCCAAATCCCCACTTGCCCTCTTGGCTGCCAAATCCCCACTTGTCCTCTTGGCTGCCAAATCCCCACTTGCCCTCTTGGTTGCCAAATCCCCACTTGCCCTCTTGGCTGCCAAGTCCCCACTTGTCCTCTTGGCTGCCAAATCCCCGCTTGCCCTCTTGGCTGCCAAGTCCCCACTTGCCCTCTTGGCTGCCTTGCCCTCTTGGCTGCCTTGCCCTCTTGGCTGCCAAATCCCCACTTGCCCTCTTGGCCTTGGCTAGTTGGCAAGTCAAGGCTGGCGCTCCGCTGACCCGTCGGGATTGTTTCTGATTTTCTATGAATAAGTTACCGATTTTTTTATTTTTCTTTCAATGTTATTTTTTATTCTGAATGTAAAAAAAGTTCTTGCAGCGCTCAGTTTTTTTAGTGTAGTTTAGGTTATTGTAATGAAAAGTGCGTTGTCTACTTGCCGATTGTTTATTTATTTATATGGAACTTGTGTATACGGTATATGTATTTGTATTGTATGGATTACCATTGATGTATTAATTTTTGTGAATATGAATAGAATTTGAAATGATTTGATTCATAATTTCATGGAGATACTTCAAAATCCCCTCTCACCCCCAACTCTCCCTATACCTCATCCCAGGGACTGCTGAGCACATGGAGAATTATGGGGGACTTGTGTGGACTGCTGGGACTTGGGGGCTGCCTGGGATTTGGGTACCAGTGGGGACTAAGGGAACAGTGGGGACTTGGGGACACCTTGGGACTTAAGGGGTCCCAAAACTTAAGACTTGGGGACTGCTGGGGTCTTGAGGACAGTTATGTAAATTTCAAAATATATAATTTATTTTTATTATTTTTTATATTCTTTATAATATTTCTCAGATATTTACTCATGTGACGTGTAGGCCGTGCGTGTAGGCCGTGCGTGGGTGACGTGTAGGCCGTGCGTGGGTGACGTGTAGGCCGTGCATGGGTGATGTGTAGGCCGTGCGTGTAGGCCGTTTAAATCATTTGGTTTTGTTGTAGATTATTTACGACATGTCCTCACGTCGGGACAGACATCTTGATTTATTGCGCTTTTCGGCGAATTTCCATTTTTGTATTCACTGCAGTTGAATATTTTTTTTACTAATTTTTTGTCGAGGAACACTTACGGTTTTAGTTTTTAGTTGTAAATATCTTTTACTACACTTTTTCAGCTATTTCAGCTGTTTTTTCTCCACCGTTAGTTTTATTATTCACTATGCCATTATTTTCCGTTATACCAACGTATCTGTTGGCCATTATTCTCTTATTCTCTCTTACATAAACGTAATAAAAAGCTATTATTATCATTGTTATGTACTAGACATACTGCGCTCATTTAGAGGGTAAAATGAGGGTAAAGTGGCATTGATGTGAGGGCAAAGCGGTTATTTATGTGAGGGTAAAGTGGAAACAAATGTTGATAAAAAAATAAAAATGAGTGATTAAACAATTCACAATACGAAAATTGGGGAACCATTAACAATTAAAATCATTAAAACAAGGCCAAAATGGGGCACATCGTCTGTTTTTCATTCACTTCTCTCTCAATTTCCATTTTACCCTCAATTTTCAATTTGCCCTCATTTTTTATATTTTTTGACAAGATAATGTGCGAAATGAACGTGAGTTCAGCGACTACAAAGTGCAATAAAGTGAGGGTCATCTGAGGGTAAAATGAGGGTAAATCATCCCAAATTTCCCTCATCCTGACCCTCGTGTTCGAAAACTTCTTAGGAAAGTTCATGACAGGTCATCTCGCGGCCAGTGCCTTTGTTCATCACACAGAAAAATAAACGGGACATATTTGACTAATATATATATATTGATCAAATAGTGACACACTTCTTGTGCGTAGCCCTGATAGAGTTATTTACCGGGCCAAAATGTGTCAGGATAACTCCCACAAGCGTAAGAAGTGTATAGTTATTTAGGTAAAATATTTTGGACCTTAAACGCGTAAAATTTATCGTGAGGCATAACATTTTTATGAGGCATAACGTTTTTGAGGCATAACGTTTTAATGTGAGGCATAACGTTTATGTTTTTTTATGTGAGTTTTACTTGTAAAACGTTTTTATGACGTTAAAACGCGCATAATTTATCGTGAGGCATAACTTTTTTATGACGTTACAACGCGCATAATTTATCGTGAGGCATAACGTTTTTATGACGTTAAAACGCGCATAATTTCGCGAGGCATAACGTTTTTATGACGTTACAACGCGCACAACTTATCGTGAGGCATAACGTTTTTATGACGTTACAACGCGCATAATTTATCGTGAGGCATAACGTTTTTATGACGTTACAACGCGCATAATTTATCATGAGGCATAACGTTTCTATGACGTTACGTTTCTTATATAACTCTAAAAATTATTGCGTAGAGTATTATTGATTTTTTCGTAATAATTTCAGTAAAGAATCGTTAAAAATTTGTAAACTCAAACAGATATAACGAAACATGTTAGTGTATTTCGTTTAGTTCTATATTTGTAACGTCATTGACGTTATAAATAATGGTGACATAACGGTATTTATAATATGCTACATATTTCAATACTCGAAAATTATCAAATTTCTTGATAAGAATTAATAACTTGACAAAAAATTTTATTATTATTGTTATTAGTTATAATACTATTATGTTACAACGTGAAGTTAAACATATTCTATTATATTTGAGGTCACGTTGTAAATTTATAACGTAAAAAATTTACAAAACATACGAAAAACTATGATTTTTCAAACTTTCTTTAAAAAACAGTTTCAAAGTGAATAATTTATAATCTAGGGGGCGATTAAACGGCGATTATTCAAAATTTTAGGTAACGATAATTATTTAATTAAATAATAAAGATTAGTTAATAATAAAGATAATTATTAAATAATAAATAACAATTTTCACATACTAGAGGTAATTATTTAACAATATAAAAGAATGTTAATTAATGATGATAATTATTGAATAAAAAAAAATAAAATTTAAATGCAATTAAGATAGTGATTCAACAATATTGTCCTTTAGCGAGTGAATGATAGTTTAACGAGGATTAATTTAGGATTTATTCATGATTTAACGATTATTTAATGATTATTTAAAGAGGATTTATTGATGATTTATTGATGATATACTGATTACTTAATGATGATTTAATGATGATTTTCTCTTCCCTTAGTTGAAGTCGAGTTGATAAGCAGCAAGACTACAACTTCATCACTATCAACGCACTATTCAACGCTCGGTGAGTTATCGTGAACATAATGAGTTGAAATAACTCGTTAAAAATATACTATTTATCTGAATGCAAATTATGCTTTGGAATTCACTGAATAGTTGCAGAACTACTAGTCTGTTTGGCAGACCCTGTAGTCCGGTCTGCAGACCAAGCGGTCCGGTCTGCAGGCCCTGCAGTCCGGTCAGAGTGCGTGTCCATAATAATGGACAGCACCGGGCCACTGACCCCCAGCGGGCTCAACTTTCTGGGGGGGGTTATTTCTTAGGGGTTCAATTGGTTTAGGTTTCTTCCGTGAGGGTTCAATTGGTTCACGTTTCTTTCTTAAGGTTCAATTGGTTCACGTTTCTTTCTCAGGAGTTCAATTGGTTCACGTTTCTTTCTTAGGAGTTCAATTGGTTCACGTTTATTTCTTAGTATTTCAATTGGTTCACGTTTCTTTCTTAGGGGTTCTATTGCTTCACGTTTCTTAGGGTTCAATTGGTTCACGTTTCTTCCTTGAGGGTTCAATTGGATTAGGTTTCTTCCTTAAGGGTTCAATTGGTTCACGTTTCTTCCTTACGGGTTCAATTGGTTTACGTTCCTTTCTTAGGGGTTCAATTGTTTTAGGTTTCTTTCTTAGGGGTTCAATTGGTTCAGATTTCTTTCTTAGGGGTTCAATTGGTTCAGGTTTCTATATTAAGGATTCAATTGGTTCACGTTTCTTTCTTAGCGCTACAATTGGTTCACGTTTCTTTCTCAGAGGTTCAATTGATTCACATTTATTTCTTAGGGGTTCAATTGGTTCAGGTTTATTTATTAGGGGTTCAATTGGTTCACGTTCCTTTCTTAGAGGTTCGATTGGTTCACGTTCCTTTCTTAAGGATTCAATTGGTTCACGTTTCTTTCTTATTGGTTCAATTGGTTCACGTTTATTTCATAGGGGTTCAATTGGTTCACGTTCTTTCTTTGGGTTTAATTGGTTCACGTTTCTTTCTTTGTGGTTTAATTGGTTCACGTTTCTTTCTTTGTGGTTTAATTGGTTCACGTTCCTTTCTTAGGGGATCAATTGATTCACGTTTCGTTCTTGAAGGTTCAAATAGTTCATGTTTATTTCTTAGAGGTTCAATTGGTTCACGTTCCTTTCTTAGAGGTTCAATTGGTTTAGGTTTCTTCCATAAGGGTTCAATTGGTTCACGTTTATTTCTTCGGAGTTCAATTGGTTAACGTTTCTTTCTTAGGGGTTAAATTGGTTCACGTTTCGTTCATGAAGGTTCAATTAGTTCATGTTTATTTCTTAGGGGTTCAATTGGTTCACGTTCCTTTCTTAGAGGTTCAATTGGTTCACGTTTCTTTCTTAGGGGTTCAATTGTTTCACGTTTCTTTCTTCAGGGTTCAATCGATTCACGAATATTTCTTAGGGGTTCAATTGCTTCACGTTTCTTTCTTGAGGGTTCAATTGTTTCACGAATATTTCTTAGGGGTTCAATTGGTTCACGTCTCTTTCTTAAGGGTTCAATTGGTACACATTTCTTTCTTAGGGGTTCAATTTGTTTACGTTTATTTTTTAGGGGGTCAATTTGTTTTAGTTGCCGGTTCATTCTTTTTTATATATTTTTGTGGCACGCAACTATTCGTTTAAATTTATTTATATATTTTTCATAGTTTGATTTTGTTAGACATTATTTTAAAATTGCTGTAACGTCCACATATCGCAGCTCGCACTTAACAAGTCTCATTTATTGCTCTGTTATCAATTATAAATAGCGTTTTGCTCTACATTTTGATAATTAACGTCTGTTATTGGGGTAATAAATGGTTATTAGTTATTTATTATTATCAATAATTGTTTGTCTTTATTAAAACGATCTCGTCTGTTATTAATGCGTTATTAAAACGATCTCGTCTGTTATTAATGCGTTATTAAAACGATCTCGTCTGTTATTAATGCGTTATTAAGACTTACTCTACAAGACTATTATTAAGACTATTTATAAGACTATTAAGACTTGTTATTAATGCGTTATTAAGACGATCTCGTCTGTTATTCATGCGTTATTAAGACGATCTCGTCTGTTATTCATGCGTTATTAAGACGATCTCGTCTGTTATTAATGCGTTATTAAGGCTTTTTGACGGTTATTTATGAGTTATTGAAGCCTCGGTCATCCCTCGCCGGCCAGTCAATGTGTTATCGCCTGCGTTTTGACTGTCGATATTCTGGAACATTTTTCTTCGGCCGAGGCAGGAAATTTTTTGCCGTGACATTATCGGCCTACTCTTCTATAGGCCTACTCTTCTTCTATAGCCCTCTTCTCGAGAAAACATAATCGCTGGCTCTATTGAAACGTCTTCAAAAGAGGCCTAGTTTTTTTTCACTTCAATGCTAATGAGAGGAATTTTGAATGTTTTTTCTGTTCCCTTATGCTTCGTTTCATTTTTATTTTAATTTTGCTAATTTTTTTAAATTCAGCTGGACGAATATACAATCTTATATAAGTTACTCTTTCAATTTCCCTCATTATTATCTTCACAATTACCCTCGTTGTTACCCTGACAGTTACATTCCCTCT